AGTCTCAAAGCTCTTAGCTACTTCTCTTGGCCCCAGCTTGAGGCTGACTGCCAGCTTAAGAGGGAAGCTAGGTATGTAGGCTTCCCTGTCTTGGCTACTGGCATAGAGAAGTTCTAGAGGGACATGCACTGATGCTGCTATCCTATGAAGCAGCAGCGTGAGTTCCTCACACACCTGGAATGGAGTGGGATCCTTGAAGGTAGTACCAAGCAGAAGCTCAAAGAACCCAAACACACACACACACACACACACACACACACAGCAGAGCGCGAGAATGCCAGTGAATAGGAGAGACTGGGGTTTGGGGAGTTCCCTGTCTGAAAGCTGGGTTCACTGTGAATAACATCGCCTGGTTAGGCAGCGGGCCGCAGGAGAGCTACTCGCGGGTCATCATCCAGGAGTCTCCCGCAGCCCAGGACTCCTGTGTGATAGAAGCTGGACCCCAGTATAATGGAATACCAGCTTCACCCAAGGGAAGAAGAAGGTCAAGGAATTTAAATCCCAGGGGAAAATGGGAAACATTTTAGTTTTATTTTTTTAAAAAAAAAAAAATCTGTAGATGTAATTAGAGAAGGCAGAAATTACGGGAGAGGAACCAATGATCTTGGAAAAGCTAGTTGGAAATTTTAGGAATTAAAATATACTGATTTACATTTAAGAACTTGGAGCTGTGTGAAAAGGCCATCGGGCACACTGAAAAGCAACAAAATCAGGGAGGTAGGACTGAAAGAGTCAGGCAGGTGCGCTCAAAGACATAGAAGCCAGCAAAAGCTGTGGAGGCTGTCTGAGGAGCTACGGGCCCCACACAGAGCTTCACAAGGACAAGGGAGAGGGGATACAGAATGAGGTAGTTGTTATTATTTCTAATGTGAAGATTTATTCATTCTTGGACTGTAGATACCACAGACTCTTGCCCCAGATTTGGAAGAGGAAACTCACAAGAGAACATCATCTAACAGAGCTTCTGAGCATGAGAGAATCTTCTACCTTCATCTCGAGCTGCTTCCCGCACATGCTGTCTGCCTTGGCAATAAGCTGTGTCCTCAAAATACCAAACCTGCTGGCAGTTCTTGCCTTGTAGCCCTTCCTAGTGTGAATGTTCTTTTGTTGTCTATATTTGGGCTAAGCTGTTCTTTCCTTGGAAAAGTCTTTCCAGAATTTCTTATTCGGTCTTATTTCCTGTTGACCGTGGGGTAAACCTAGCAGCCTCGAGGCTCATGCACTGCTGCTATTGTGTTCTGGTTGCTTGTTTGACTCTGGTTCCCATGGTGCTGTGAGCTCCCTGCATTTGGGCTCACCATGGTTTATGGACACATCAGTTAGTTGTGCATGCCCACCAGCACCTCAAAAGTCACACAGAATGAGTCAAACTGTAAGCAGTGGATTGTATAATAGCTACACTAGCACCCAGAGACACAGCAGACAGGAACTACAGAATGTATAGCTGCTTATGGGCAAAGTTTTCTGCCTAATAGAACACACATACTCATGCACACACGCACGTACGCACGCACGCACACACGCACGCACACACGTAGAGTGCTTCTACCACAAACTTTCACTATACATATGTCTTTTACATGTTCATTAAAAACTTTAAAATCAAAATAAGAGTTTTTAAGCTTATTTATTTCATTTTATGTAAAAGTATGAGTGCCCACATATATGTAGATGCACCAAGTACATGCTTGATACCAATGGAGGTCAAAACACATCACATTTTAAGCTGTCTTCTTCTGTGGTTACTTCAGTGGCAGACAGAAAGCCATAAGAGGGATGGGATTGGATTGTTTTTCCCCCTTTTTTAATTGATTTTATTGAGCTATACATTTTTTTCTCCTCTCTTTCTCTCCCCTCCCCTTCTGCCCTCTCCCATGATCCCCATGATGCCAATTTATTCAGAAGATCTTGTCTTTTTCTACTTCCCATGTATATTAGATCCATGTATGTCTGTCTTTCTTAAGGTCCTCATTGTTGTCTTGGTTTTGTGAGACTGTGATTTGTAGGCTACTTTTCTTTTATTTATGTCTAAAAGCCACTTATGAGTGAGTACATATGATATTTGTCTTTCCGGATCTGGGTTACTTCACTCAATATAATGTTTTCTAGATCCATCCATTTGCCTGCAAATTTCAAGATCTCATTATTATTTTCTGCTGTGTAGTACTCCATTGTGTAAATGTACCACATTTTCCAATATCCATTCTTTGGTAGAGGGGCATTTAGGTTGTTTCCAGATTCTGGCTATGACAAATAATGCTGCTATGAACATAATTGAGCACGTGTCCTTGTAGCATGATTAAGCGTCTTTTGGGTATATACCCAAAAGTGGTATTGTTGAGTCTTGAGGAAGGTTGCTTCTCAATTTTCTGAGAAATCGTCATACTGATATCCAAAGTGACTGTACCAATTTGCACTCCCACCAACAATGGAGCAGTGTTCTCTTTACCCCACATCCTCTCCAGCATAAATTATCATCAGTGTTTTTGATCTTGGCCATTCTTACAGGTGTAAGATGGAATCTCAGAGTTGTTTTGATTTGCATTTCTCTGATGACTAAGGATGTTGAGCATTTTCTTAAGTGTCTTTCAGCCATTTTAGATTCCTCTGTTGAGAGTTCTCTGTTTAGGTCTGTACCCCATTTTTTATTGGATTATTTGTTCCTTTGATGATCAATTTTTTGAGATCTTTGGCTATTTTGGGGATCAGACCTCTGTCTGATGTTTGGTTGATGAAGATCTTTTCCCCTTCTATAGGTTGCCATTTTGTCTTTTTGACCATGTCCTTTGTTTTATAGAAACTTCAATTTTAGGAGATTCCATTTATTAATTATTTCTCTCAGTGTCTGTTCGACTGGGGTTATATTTAGGAAGTGATCTCCTGTGTCAATGCATTCAAGTATACTTCCCACTTTCTCTTCTATGAGGTTCAATGTGGCTGGCTTTATGTTGAGGTCTTTGATCCATTTGGACTTGAGTTTTGTGCATGGTGATGTATATGGATCTATTTTCATTCTTCTACATGTTGACATCTAGTTCTGGAACTCGGCTTGTTTTAAGATGTTGTGTTTGGAACCTCGATTGCTCAGTATGTGACCATTGATTGGGTCTCACAGTAAGGACACCTTTGATTGTATCTTATTGCAATTCCTAAGACTTTTGTTCACAGTATTCCAACTCAGTATTCAGGATGCCAGTCTGTCCACAAATTCTAATGCTTTTCAGAAATGGTTCAATAAAAGTCAAGTCCCTTTTTATTATAGCAGGAGAGGGGGAGTAGTTAGGTAAGATGTGGTCTACATGGGGACACATGGATTCTCTAGTGATTTCTGTAAGATGTAACATCTGGAGAAGCCAGAAGGAAGGATTTCAAGGTGACTTAATAAAATCTATGAGCTGAAATCCTAAAAGCATTGGGAGATTTGTTCAGAGATTATTCTTTGTTCCATATGCAATCCCCACAAAGTTCCTTGCTATGGTCCAGACCCACTACACATTTGGAAATAGAAAAATTTAAAAGGCAAATGAAGTTACAAAGCAAGCACAATGGTGGCCCCAAGATAGCTCAACAGCCAGAAATTGGAAAGAAACACAAATTTAACAACCAGAAACCAGATGTCAAAAACAATGACCTGGGGCAGATGGCTTGGATGTCATGCGTAAGGACTTAGGCTCAATCTACTGCACCCCTGAAAAAATAAAACAGCCACAAAAATCAACACCACCTCAGTCAACCCCATGTCATAACTGAGCTGATGAAATGAAGATCTGAATGTTTAAGGAAATCCCGTGAATTTAGCATCTTCCAGCTAAGAGAAGAGGGGAAGAAGCAGCATTCTAGGTAGACAAAGCTTTGGATATATCTATTCAAAGTATAGTCTCTTTCTTAGCCAAGTAAAAGTAAGAGAAATAACTGAGACAGCCTAGCTTTGGGTTTTCCAACTGTTCACTCAGGCCTCCTGGAGAACCTTGTGTCTTTCCTAAGCAGATAAATGGATTTTGTGGCTGTCATGGAGGTAGCCTCTTCCGGGAGAGCTGAAATCCGGGACACTTGGACCTATGTAAATAGGGTAAAAGCTGGCAGGTTTTCAAGCCTTCTCAAGAGGGACCATTATGAGCATATCCTCTCTGGGTGGATATTAGTTCACTGACTTCCTAAGCTTCTCCCAGATGCTTTCAGTCAAGATGGGGAAGGCTGTCCTGGGAGTTTGCATACAGGCATTTGGGGGTGTCCATTGATCGGAACAAGAACTAATCCTTAACCCAGAGATGGCCAGGGACAGGTGACACAAATGGAGGCTGAACATCTGAACGATGTTTTCTGTGTCCTTCAACTCCTAGCAACCTGCCTGTCTACATGTGACACTGAGCTCTGTTTTGGATAAGCGTATCTTTTCTCTTGATTACCCTTACCAGCTGTGAGACACATTTACTTCTCATCTAAGAAAGAGGATTGTCTGTGTGTGTGTGCGCGCGCGTGCGCACATGCATGTGTGTGTGTGTGTGTGTCCACAGCAGGCTGCCCTCACCTTGGAATAACACCTAGAAGCTGCTAAGTAGAGCAGGGGTACAATCCAAACCTGAAGGGCAGAATGAACAGAGGCAAGAGGCCTGTCATGTAGAGCATTGTCCAGCTACTCTTCTCTAGTTTCAAAATATCTTTCAGTCATTTTCTTTTGCCATACACTGGGTATTTTCCATCTATCCAAGATCAGCTCTGTGAATATGTGTGTGTGTGTGTGTGTGTTCGTGTGTGTGTGTGTGTGTTCGTGTGTGTGTGTGTATGTGTGTGTATGTGGGGGGGGAATTTTACCGAACATGATGGCTTTGTCATATTTTTTGATAGTTTCATTAGAGAAAAGCAAGACTGACTTTCATCCACCATCCACAATCCATAATTGTGTTTGACTATGTTCGCTATTTCTGAATGGCTGGCACAGTGGCTTATGCGGTCTTTGATCCACCGCAGTGTTTAACTGTCTCTGTCCTTTTTCTCTCCAGCGGAAGATACTAGTCTGTCTCAGAAGAAGAAGGTGACTGTGGAAGATCTTTTCAGTGAAGATTTCAAAATCCATGACCCGGAGGCAAAGTGGATAAGCGGTATGTCTGGAGTCCTTAGAGAACCTGGGAGGTCCCTCCTACCCCACTTCCTCTGGGTCACCTCAGTGTGGGAGTTTGTCCTCTCCTTCCCTTGTGACAGTGAAGCTCTGCAGAAGGTCTGATCTGTGACTGTGACTGTCAACACATTGCCATCATCAGAGCATGTGACCCTGGGATAGCCACTCCTTACTCTACAGGCTGCCTCGCAGACCTCAGCATGGCCTCAGCTCTGTGAGACATGTGTCTGTTGAGGACCCATCCTCCATCATCCTCAATGTGTCCCCTCCCTCCTGGAGCCATTACTTCTCTCAGGGAGATGAAACACGTTGCTAAGCAACAGAGCCCATGGTGCTGCTCTACTGAGCATGCCTTCTCCTTGGTACTGGTCTTCTCTGCTTAAGTTCGCTTTCACTCACCTGGGAGCTGTGACCAAGGACTGCGCAGAGATCTGTGCAGATGCTGAGAAGCATACCTTCCCTCTCAGCTTCAACCTGGATCCAATCTCATTTTATAGTTTTGGGGGACTTTTTTCTTAAACAACAAAACAGAAACAGAACAGGGTACAGATAGCGGTATCGCCCTGACTCTTGGCATCCGGGATGATGACTTTCCTCTTAGAGGGTCTGAAATCCCAGGAGCCTGCACCTTCGCCCTCCCTGGTAGGTGGCGTCTCTCCTGCTGTGTCCCTGGCTGTGCTTTGCATTGTTTTCCCTTTAGGGAATGCCCTCAGGTTGGCAAGTCTTTCCAGCGCATCATGCCCAGGCTCAGGGATAGGGTATTCCAGAGAGCAGCAGGTTTCCTTACATGGCAGAGCTGGTCTTCAGCACAGTGGGCTGGCCACCCACCTGACCCCCAGTTTTGTGCCCCTTGCATTGTACTGAGTGGCGTGGTATTGTTAGAGTCGTTTGTTACCCAACAGCCCTGGACAGGCTTCCCATACTTTGCCAACTTGAAAAAGTCAATAAGCAGTACTCCCACCTTCTAGCTCTTCCTCTGGGCAGTGGTTTCTCTCTTATCTGTATTATGATTGTGGTATTAGTTTCTGACCCCAAGGTTAGCTCCTTCCCTGAGCAAATCAGAAGATAGGTGTTTCAAAGTATGTGTTTTGTAAAGTCTTCAAAGAAATGACTAGTTGGGTGTTGGGGGTGTTTGTGGAAAGTACCTGGGGACTCAGCACAGGGGGGGTGGGAGAGCAGAGGTCTCCTGCTGTCCTGGGAGCAAACTTCACCTTCAGTATTGAAGGTACCTTAGCATCCTCCCCAACCCACCCCCACTGTGTGTGTGTGTGTGTGTGTGTGTGTCTGTCTGTCTGTCTGTTTGTCTGTGTGTGTGTGAGAGACTGTGCAAGCACCCACACATGTGTGCATGCATCAATGAACACATGCACACATTTGTGTTTTGATTCAGTGTTTGGACAGGTCTGAGCACTCAGGCAATGCTCAAGGTCAGATCTTGAAAATAAAGCACAGTCTCATTGGGAGCCCAAAGATGCATTCTGGAGAGGAACATTGATCCTAACTCAATAGATACAGAGAGATGGATTCCTGCTTTCTCTCTCTCCGTGGGAAGGCAATTTGGAGACTGTGAGCAGTCTTAAATGGATGACTAGGGTTTGTTAGATAAGAGAGAACAGACCTCTGGAAAATGTAAGTCTAAAGCATCAACCTGTGCTAAACTGTGATCAGCAGAACCAAATGCAAGCTGAGAGACAATACCCAGCGATAAAACACATCCAAATGGAGGCAGAAACAAGTTCAGAGGATACATGGAAGGGTAGAAATTAGGGGTGCCAGATCCAACTCTGGGGCTGAGAAACCACTGGAGGAGAACCTAGAAAGATTCCAACAGGGGCCAAAAGTAGAGCTGTGCACTTTTTTATTAGGTTGCCATGGTTTCAGGCAGCCTAGTCCTAAAGCAACAGTCTAAGTGAAATGAGCAGGGCGGAGGGGGGAGGGGGTGTTAGTGACTGTGGAAGAGAAGAGGAGGGAAGGGGAAGAAGTGGGGAGGAGAAGGAAAAGGAGGGGATAAAATGGGAAGGGGAGGGAAGGGAAGGGAAGAGGGATGTAAGCCATGAAATGGAGGCACAGGTTGTATAAGATGCTGAAAGCCAGGACCCTGTCTCTGAGCTGCCCTCCCACCGCTGTCAGCATCACCTGCTGGGAACTTGTTCTGACTGAATGAGAACAGCTGCCTGGAGATGCACTAATCCACCCAAGGGAAGCCAGCCAGAGTGCTTTCCCCTAAAGCTGGGGGTTAATTTAAGCCTACTCCTCCTCTTCTTTTTCTTCACCCCTCTTCCCCCACTTTCTCCTCCTCTTCCCCCCTCCTTTTCCCTCCTCCTCAGGATAATCTCCTGGGTGTCTGGTATGTCTTAATCTCTCAGTAAGTACCTCTCACCTATTAAGCCATTTGATTCTCACACGTTCCACTGGTCCATTTGCAGGTATGTGAACTGAGGCTCAGAGTGTTTAAGTCGCTTAGCCCATATCCCACATCAACCCCACCTTCTCTGTGTTTATAGACTGCCACACCAGGTGGGATCTGGGTCTCCTGTCTCCAGGACATTTCTCTTGTGCCCTCACCAGCTACCTTTTCTGCTTTTAGCCACTGTCTAGGCTGTGAATAGTACCGAGTTCTTACCATCTACTGAGTGCTGAGCACTGGAAGGAAATGGAGAGTTTCTCTACTGAGAAAGTAATTTAGATTTTTTTTTTCTACATCAATCGCTGGTATTAACTTGTGTCTTAGGTTTAATATTGGAGCTCTTGGTCTAGAAGGAAGGCTCTGTTTTTATTATAAGGAAACTATGCTAGGTGGGAGTTTTAAGACTATAGACTTTAATTCGTTCTTTTAAAATAAATCAATAGTTTTGTTGGTAATATAATGTTGCATAAGTGATTAAAATATAATTAATAGTAAGGTTATAAACCCTAAGCAAAGCTCCATGGCCTCAGAATAGCCATGCTGACAGTTAGAAGTTCACTGAGGTGGTGTTTGTGTGGTATCATTATACCAGCTGGGCAATGCTTTTATTTGTGAGGTAATTACAATAGTAATTTTTATTTACTTTATTGTTTCTTAAACCTACCTTCTCTGAAAGCTTGAAATCTTCTAGAATCCTGAAACTTGAATACTTCCTTGTGCCTGTGTTACAAGAGAGGAAGGGCAGAAACTAGCAGAGCTAACAAGGTCCCTGCTTCCTGGGAGGTCCCTTCTGCTTGCTGGGGAGAGACTGGTAGCAGCTATGTCCTTCCACACACCTGCCGTATTAAGTAACTTCTCGTATTTGTTACAGACCTTTGGGGACTGTCTTAGTCGCTGTTTTATTGCTGTAAAGAAATGCCATGAGCACAGCAACTCTTAGAAAAGAAAGGATTTAATTGGGGCATTATTTACAGTTTCAGAGGTTAGTCCATCATCATCATAGCAAGGAGCACGGTGGCCTGCAGGCAGGTGCTGGAGAAGTATCTGAGAGCTACATCCTGACCCACAGGCAGAGAGGCATACAGAGAGATGCTGACTGGGCTGGCAGAGCCATTTGGAACCTCAAAACTGATTGCCATGACACACTTCCTCCAACAAAGCCACACCTCCTAATCCTTTTCAAATAGTGCCACTCTCTGATGGCTGAGCATTCCAATATATAAGTCTATGGGGCCATTCTTGTTGAAGCTACCACAGGAATCTTTTCTGTGCTCTCCCAGGGTTCTATGACATGGGACAACATTGTGGCTACCACTTCTTTCCAGACTGAATCAGCCCAGTTCTACTCTGCCTGAAGGGATGGGCAGCCTCAAACCTTCCCGTCTCGCCTCACCACTCCATCTCTCATCCATCATCTTCAGATGAAATGACTTGGGAGAGGTTGCAACACTCACCCCCTCACCTACCTGTGTTCACCCCCTCTTCTAGCCACCAGTGACCTACCCCTCTCTACACAGCCTCTAAAGAGATCATGGGTAGGCTTTCCCTGGCTTGAGGAAAAATTGTAGGGAACCCCTTCTTTCTCCCCTGAATATTTTTGTGCATGAGAACACGCTGATCTTGAAATAAATACATCTTCATTTCTGCTCCCATTCCACACTCACGTCTTGACCTTCCTCTTGTCCATGTTCCCACTGGGTACCACCTGGTCTCCCTTGCCCTCAACAACCTGGGGCAGCTGTCTACCATGATCTCATTCACACTCTGCTTCCCTTGCCTCAGTGCCCACTCTGATTAGGCATCTACCCCAGGCTCCTGAACTTCCTCTTGGCAAGGTCACGGAGGACCTCCAGGTTAGGGAATGCCAATTCCTCAAGGTCATTTCTTAAACCTTTCCTCTCTTGCTATCAGTGTTCTGACCTCTCCTAAATACACATCTCCAGACGAGAGCCCTCCCCGGATGTCTCATATGCCTCGAAGACCTTACAGATTTAACCTTAATACACATCTTCAAATCCGAGGTCCTGATCCCATCCAAAACCATAAACACACACACACACACACACACACACACACACACACACACACACATATAGCTTTCTAATGTGGACTGATGAAAAACTCATTCACTTGAGTCTCCTGTACCATCCCACAAGCTGCTTCTTAGACAAATAGTCCCTTTCTATGCCCAGCTGGAATTGGTGTTAATTCCAAAATGAGGGTAGTGGGTTTCTACATGGAGTCCGCCTACCACCTTGTCATTTTTCAATTCTTTTTTGTTCAAGACAGAGTTTCATCCTGCCCAGGCTGGACTCCAACTGCCTGTGTAGTAAAAGACAGCCGTGCCCGGTGCAGACTTTCTTCTGGTCACCTCATTTTCTTGAATCTTTCCACTTGTTGGCAGAGAGCCCTCTGTGTCTCAGGACACAGAACTGGAGAGACTGGAAAATTGGAGAAAATTGCCTTCTTTGAATGTAGGAAGGGATCAGCTGGCTGGTTGCTACTGGAAAAGTATATGTTTGAGGAGATAAAATTGGCCTGGGTGCTCGGGGCTCAAAGCAATTTGGTTTCCAAAT